AAGTTTATTGCATTGCTAAACGTTTCTCAATCAAGATAAAACGTTTACAACCAATACTATTTTTACGACTAAATATGTTTTATGTAAATAAATAGTTCACGTTTCAATTAACTAAGGTTATTGTATAGGTTAGTTTTTTTTTTAACATTTTATAAGATCGAATTTGAAATGATTCAAAATCACAAAAAGACATCAAGAACTACGCAGTTAGTATGAAACAAAATATATAATAAATAAGATAACTTATTTGCTTTAATTAACAAGTGAAATGTTTCCAATCCAATCTTTCCAATCTAATATAGTCCAAAGGGTGACAAAAGGATATAAATATGGTCACTAAAGGTTTTCTCACGGCTGGCAGTAAAAAAAAAACTTGCCAAAGTGGGGGCATCCGTTTGGTTGTTTGGGATATACTAGTACGCAACCAACTTTCAATCAATCCAAACTAATAATTGTTTTTTTTTTATCCCGCATCTTTTTATATTAATTTATTTTAACTCAAAATAATAATTGAAATAAGTTTCTGAAATAAAACCCTAACATATATCAGACGCTTAACAAAACGATATACCATACGATAGATGAAACGCTTAACGATATCATATACTATACGATAAACGAAACGCTAAACGCAAAACCATACCATGTACCATACGACAAATAAAACGCTTAACGATACCATGAACCATACGATATACAAAACCCTAAACGATGACATTTACCATACGATGAACGAACGATGAACGAACGCTGACCGAACGTTGTACGGACGCTATACGAATGATGTACGAACGATGACCGAACTCTATACGAACGATTCCCGAACGCTGTACGTACGATTCCCGAATGAAAAAAGTGTTAACTTTTACGTTACAGGGACTGTAGCATACTTTATGGATTAGAGGCCAGCTGAAACCCGCCTCCGGGTGAGCGATTATCTCGCTGTGTTGAAGACCCATTGGTGGCCGTGGGCTGTTTTCTGCTCGTCTTTTGACACATTGCCCTTTTCCATTCTCAATTTTATTGATGTGTCAACCATACCACAACAATTAAAAATCACCAAATCCGTTTGATATGTACTGGTTACTACTTTAGTCTCGGAGAACATGATTTATTTACTAGTTGTTATTGGCTTTGAACTAGCTTTCAGTAACTGCAAGTATTTTTAGATTGGTACTGTGTATCTTTTGTCGTCCTATCGGTTGCTTTTTGTGCTTCGTGTCGTTCTATGAATAAAGCAATTTCCAACTTCATTTTACTTTGTCGTGTTATTACACCATTGTCCCAAGTTGTGGTAGGGTTGAGCGCTCATATTTTTTTGAAACCCGTCAGATTCTATATGTACAGGTTCCTTGTCATGAGCCTGTAATTTCGTGGTTGACGTTGTTTGCTGTCCGTCAAATTTATTTTTCGTTTATTGTTTTGTCATATATCAGACCGTTTGGGACCTGTTATATGCGGCTGTCATACAATGGAGAGGTTTAGCTAGCTATTAAACCAGGTTTATTCCACCATTTTCTACATAAGGAAATGACTGTACCAAGCCAGGAATATGACAGGTTTTTCCATTCGTTAGATGTGTTTGAGATTTTCATTTTGCCATTTCATAAAGGACTTTCCGTTCTGAATTTCCCTTGGAGTTCGGTATTTTTGTTATTTTACTTTTTGAATTGTTTCACAATTTGCCTTTTATCGATGACTATACGGTATGGGATTATTTTTCAGTTCCCATACGTCGTTTTCTGAAGTTAATGTAATATATGCATACATATTGCTCCTTTGAATAAACCTATTCTAAAATGTAACCAATTCAACTAGCTGTCAGTAACTGCGAGTACTCTCATATCTGTACTTAAAGTGTCTTTTTATGTTGTGGGGATGTATAAGTACCCTGCCATGTCCGGTCTGTGTTTTTGTTCGATGCATTTCTGCTTTGTATCAATCTGACGAGTTAAGCCCTTTTCAACTAATTTTTATAGTTTGTTCTTACATGTATGTTGTACTGTTACACCACTGTCCCAGGTTAGGGGAGGGTTGGCGCCTTCAAACTAGTTTAACCCCGAAACATTCTGTATGTGCCTTTCCGAAGTCATCAGTCTGTAATTCAGTGGTTGTCGTTTGTTGCTGTATATAATATTTGTTTTTTCATTTATTACTTTGTGCATTAATCAGGACGTTTGAATTGTTTATTTGTCATTTCGGGGCCTTTTTTAAATGGCTATGCGGTAGGGGTTTTTCCCATTGTTGAAGACCGTACGGTGACTATAGTTGTTAACTTCTATGTCATTTTGTCACTGGTTGACGGTTGTCTCATTAACAATTATACCCCCATCTTCTTATCTTTATATACAATACGCTTTGTCGCACAATGAAATTCAGGGTTTGGCAGGACTGTTTATGATAAACATAAACAGAATAAACTTAGGAATGAGTAATACGGACACCGAATATTGTTGAACATTATACCTCGTAGGATATATACTGGAATTGCAACCTAGTGCAATATAAGTGTCTCTTCCTCGGAACATTCATAGTCATCAATATAATGATATAACCCTATATTCCTCATCAATATTATTACAGTTCGAGCTGAATATACATTTTTGTTTAAGGGCCAGCTGAAGCCCGCTTCCCGGTGCGGGATCTTCTCTCTTTGTTGAAGACCCATTGGTGGCCTTGGGCTGTTTTCTGCTCTTTGGTCGTGCTGTTATCTCTTTGGCACATTCCTCGTTTCTTTTCTCATTTTTACTATGTCCTAACTACCCCGGCAAACAATTTTTGGAATCAATAGTATATTATAATCAGTACGGTGACGGATCCATTACAGACAGAAATAAAGTAGGCTTTTTACATGTTATTTGTATAAACGTGTAGAATAAAAATACACATATTACTATTTTCGATTGTGAGATGTAATATTTTCAACAACGTAATAGCAATCCAGTTGTTCATGTATGTTGGGTATATATCTCCCTGTTGATACGATATTTCAGAGCTTATAATGCCTATCAATAAAGCTATTAAACCAAGAGTTCCAAATTGAGAAGGTGAAGTCATCTTTCGAAAATTTTACGGACCACATTTCGAGTTGGTAACGACGGTTTTGTTCCAACTGTAGTAACCACAACATTTTCCTCAAATATGACCTACAGAAGTAGACTTGTTACAAACTTGTAATTACATTAGTAACACGATGCGTGTCACATGTGGAGCAGGACCTGCTCACCCTTCTGGAGCACGTTAGTTCAACCCAAGTTTTTGGTGGGGTTCGTGTTGTTCAGTTTTTATTTTTCTATGTTCTGTTATCTAACATTTGTCATTTCGGGGGCCTATTATAGCTGACTATGCGGTATGTGTTTTTCTCATTGTTTAAGACCGTTCGGTAACCGATAGCTATCATGATTTCCTTGATAGAGGGTTGCTGCTTACAAGGAAGCTATTAAACCAAGAATTCATAGTAGTGAAGTTGAAACCAACCCTTTGTAAATTTCAAGGACGCCATCACGAGTTGGTTGATCGTTATGGAATATCTGTTTCACACGGACGGATATGTTCCAATTGTCGTAACTACAATCTCGTCCTTTTTTCCTCGAATGTGACCTACAAAATTAGATATATCACCGGGTTTGTACTTACACTTCCCGTTTTTGATGGAGATGTGAAGATTTTTTCACCCTAAAATTCTCATTTCCCTTAAGCATAAAAAATGTATATAGTATTCAGTGGTGTTGAATTTAAGGTCTTAAACGCAAGTTTTAAAGCACATTTTTATTGTTAAAGAACTTGTATGTTTGAAATCAGACAAAGAAAAATATTCAAAGCACTCTGTAAATTTTATGCGTAGAACATTTAGTTGATATAATATATTGCATTTGCTAATATTGATCGAACGAAAACATTTTACTTTGAAAAATTCATTTATTTTTCTATTTGTTATTTAATTATATCATTTTCTAAACAAGAACATAAACATAGTAGATTCATTTCGACAAATGCTTACTTTAAAGATCAAATTGTTAACTGTTTATCTTACATTTTCATTGTTTTCCTATGTTATCTTCTATAACGATTCTGAATAATTTATTAATCCAATTTGATATGGTCTCTGACAATAATAAATTTTCTTCAGATATGAAAAGATGTAATTGACATCACAATAAAAAAACTATAATTGATTGTTTTTAGACATCAAAGCCTTCAACATTACACATTGAAAATTAAAGAGGGCCTTTTTATGGCATTAACTATGATGTCTCTTATTTCGTTCTCGTCAAAGACTCATTTAATCTTGTAATTGAAGCTTTTCAAAACATTCTAATTTCTTAGTTTAAATTCTAGGTTCATTACTTTCATGATTCATTTCCGTGACCAAAACTAAACATTCTTGATCAGTTCTTGTCCTACATTTCTTTATTTGCATAATGTATCGATGCATCTCAAGGAAAAGAGCAGCAAAAGATCTCAAAGGAACATTCAATTCATAAGTCTTGCCAATCATTTGTAATTAAACGTTCTAATTCCTAAATTTCACACTCGGTTAAGTTTCAAGATAAGAAAATTTAAATGACCGATGGTTAACCAAAGTTGTGATGTCTAATGGTGAGATAAGTCTATGACCAATCCGCTATTGTGTGATGCCTTATTACTAGGCAAAGCTTATCAACGTATTTTACACGGCGGGTGTGACATGTGGTGGCAGGGGTTCTGCGAACCCTTCCGGAGCACCTGAGATCATCCCCGGTTTCGTGTTGCTCAGTCTTCTGTTGGCTATGCTGTGTTTTGTGAACTGTTGTTTGTCTTTTTGTCGTTTGTTTTATTCTATCATGGCAATATCAGTTTGTTTTCGACTTATGAGTTTAATTATTCCTTTAGTATCTTTCGCCTCTCTTTTTATAAGTCGATCTGTATAGTATAACATTTGGTATTCATCATTTTATACAAAATGTAATCACAAATAGTCAAAGATAGAAGATAGCTAAAGAAAGCTGAAATAAAAATATTAGCATCGTTCGTAAATATCTACATATCGAGTAACATTCGTTAACCATGAAGTTTTATCCCCGATGCTCCACAGATTGCAGACCCGTTGCAGATAATTAAAGTGTTGAAACGCATTACACTCTTGTTTAGCATCACACATGAATGCACATCTAATGACGCTGACACCATAAACAGAATCGATAGAATGACCATTGATAATTGTGACATTTTCTTGCCTGCAGTAATTACCTACAATAAAGGTAAAAAAAGAAAAAATGATAAATAAAATTAAAAAAAATATGATGTGATATGAACAGGAATTTTGTTAAGTGTGATACTATGAAAATACGGCTTTTGTTTGATTGAATTTTGCAACTATTAAACTGAAATGATTTTAAATTAGAGAATATGCCTTCCCTTTGCAAAGCTCTGATTGCTTTTCAAAATTTGGCTTTACTTAAGGTCGTTTTGGGTTTGATCAGCTCTTCGACGTTTGTTTTAGGTTGGGATTTTCATATGATACCAGGTTTTATAATGTCGACGACACGAATTTCCGTAATAACTCTTCATTCTCTATATTCTAGATTAAGTGTTTAGATGTCAAATGCATAACATGTTTCAGAACAAGCAAAAAAGTTAGTAGAAAAAAAAATTAGAGTTACTTCTGCTTAAAAAATTTCACTCTCAATAATTTAGTAAGTACATCATTTAAGTCAAAGTCAGTCTACATCTGTAAAACACCAAAGCATAGGCTACTTGTTAGATGTTACTCTGTGAAAAGACAGGTCTAGAACACAAGTGGTATTATTTTAAATAAATGATACCGATGCCAGCGCAAATGGCTGTTGTAATTCGAGACAAAGATATTCTGTCTTAGTCAAATAAGTCACAGTTGCGACGCAAAACTTTATGTATCATTTGATGAAGGTAAATCCAGAAAAGCGCTTCGGACGCATAAAATTATTAAACGTGTTGTTTTCAATTTTTTTTCGAAAATAAAATAAAAGTCAACAAATAGGGTAAACAAAACTTTACCTTTGTTTGTACACAGATTATAATCCGGAACATTCCCAAGATCTACTCCTGTCGTTTCAGTACACATAATACCATCACCATGGTTTATAACAATATATAGATCTTTCAGGCTTACAAGAGCACAGTTACATATGAGCCGATTTTCTGAAAGATCCCTTCAAAGAAGATATATGTTTACTGTATGCACAATTATGTAAATGATTTTTTTCTTACTATTCTGAGTTTTTAAGGATTATTAACAGTTTTGATAATGTTCTTTTTCATATTGGTTAACATATTTACTGAATTCATTTTTGATTTTTTTACCTTATTCTATCGAGTAGAAAATCTCGTATCTGAAGCTCAATTCCATGTAAAAGATATTAAAAATATTCCAATGCATGGGGATCGTTCAGTAAAACATCAGTTTTCCCTCAATTAATATATCAACAGAAATGTAAAACGTTAGTGATAATGATAACAACTAGGTCCTAACAAAAATTATATTTCATGTTTTCAATTATAAAACAACAACAAAAGGACATTCAAATTTTTCTCAGTATATTGATCTAGTTCAAATGTAGTCCTATGATCATATCACATGAACAAAGGCCAGTATAAGAATTTTAACCTCAGCACTAAATGATACATCAAACGGCATTAAATCAATTGAGAGTAAAAACCGAGTTATTTCTATTGATGGAAATTACTTACATATTTGTGTTCTAATCCATCCCTGTCTCAATTTCATTGACATGATTATTCTTTTTTTCAATACATTTATTTACAAATCGTTATGTCTTTTCTCAATAAATGTATTTACAAATCGGCTTAAGGTTGCACTTTGTAAATACAGCTGTTTCACAAGCCACGCCTCTTTTGGGGAATATATAATATTCATAGATATTTTGTTTTGTTTTCGTACTGGTTCCCAGCTATGATTTCTATGTTTCATCTCATAGAGAAATAACTTGGGAATGTTATCAGTATAAAACACATGGTAGCGGAGAAATTGAATTCTAAGAAATTCTCAAAGTGAAGGTAGGGGTAGTACAGAATTTTAGTATAAGTTTGAATTTCCCTTGGAGTTCGGTATTTTTTTTATTTTACTTTTTGAATTGTTTCACAATTTGCCTTTTATCGATGACTATACGGTATGGGATTATTTTTCAGTTCCCATACGTCGTTTTCTGAAGTTAATGTAATATATGCATACATATTGCTCCTTTGAATAAACCTATTCTAAAATGTAACCAATTCAACTAGCTGTCAGTAACTGCGAGTACTCTCATATATGTACTTAAAGTGTCTTTTTATGTTGTGGGGATGTATAAGTACCCTGCCATGTCCGGTCTGTGTTTTTGTTCGATGCATTTCTGCTTTGTATCAATCTGACGAGTTAAGCCCTTTTCAACTAATTTTTATAGTTTGTTCTTACATGTATGTTGTACTGTTACACCACTGTCCCAGGTTAGGGGAGGGTTGGCGCCTTCAAACTAGTTTAACCCCGAAACATTCTGTATGTGCCTTTCCGAAGTCATCAGTCTGTAATTCAGTGGTTGTCGTTTGTTGCTGTATATAATATTTGTTTTTCATTTATTACTTTGTGCATTAATCAGGACGTTTGAATTGTTTATTTGTCATTTCGGGGCCTTTTTTAAATGGCTATGCGGTAGGGGTTTTTCCCATTGTTGAAGACCGTACGGTGACTATAGTTGTTAACTTCTATGTCATTTTGTCACTGGTTGACGGTTGTCTCATTAACAATTATACCCCCATCTTCTTATCTTTATATACAATACGCTTTGTCGCACAATGAAATTCAGGGTTTGGCAGGACTGTTTATGATAAACATAAACAGAATAAACTTAGGAATGAGTAATACGGACACCGAATATTGTTGAACATTATACCTCGTAGGATATATACTGGAATTGCAACCTAGTGCAATATAAGTGTCTCTTCCTCGGAACATTCATAGTCATCAATATAATGATATAACCCTATATTCCTCATCAATACTATTACAGTTCGAGCTGAATATACATTTTTGTTTAAGGGCCAGCTGAAGCCCGCTTCCCGGTGCGGGATCTTCTCTCTTTGTTGAAGACCCATTGGTGGCCTTGGGCTGTTTTCTGCTCTTTGGTCGTGCTGTTATCTCTTTGGCACATTCCTCGTTTCTTTTCTCATTTTTACTATGTCCTAACTACCCCGGCAAACAATTTTTGGAATCAATAGTATATTATAATCAGTACGGTGACGGATCCATTACAGACAGAAATAAAGTAGGCTTTTTACATGTTATTTGTATAAACGTGTAGAATAAAAATACACATATTACTATTTTCGATTGTGAGATGTAATATTTTCAACAACGTAATAGCAATCCAGTTGTTCATGTATGTTGGGTATATATCTCCCTGTTGATACGATATTTCAGAGCTTATAATGCCTATCAATAAAGCTATTAAACCAAGAGTTCCAAATTGAGAAGGTGAAGTCATCTTTCGAAAATTTTACGGACCACATCTCGAGTTGGTAACGACGGTTTTGTTCCAACTGTAGTAACCACAACATTTTCCTCAAATATGACCTACAGAAGTAGACTTGTTACAAACTTGTAATTACATTAATAACACGATGCGTGTCACATGTGGAGCAGGACCTGCTCACCCTTCTGGAGCACGTTAGTTCAACCCAAGTTTTTGGTGGGGTTCGTGTTGTTCAGTTTTTATTTTTCTATGTTCTGTTATCTAACATTTGTCATTTCGGGGGCCTATTATAGCTGACTATGCGGTATGTGTTTTTCTCATTGTTTAAGACCGTTCGGTAACCGATAGCTATCATGATTTCCTTGATAGAGGGTTGCTGCTTACAAGGAAGCTATTAAACCAAGAATTCCTAGTGAAGTTGAAACCAACCCTTTGTAAATTTCAAGGACGCCATCACGAGTTGGTTGATCGTTATGGAATATCTGTTTCACACGGACGGATATGTTCCAATTGTCGTAACTACAATCTCGTCCTCTTTTCCTCGAATGTGACCTAAAAAATTAGATATATCACCGGGTTTGTACTTACACTTCCCGTTTTTGATGGAGATGTGAAGATTTTTTCACCCTAAAATTCTCATTTCCCTTAAGCATAAAAAATGTATATAGTATTCAGTGGTGTTGAATTTAAGGTCTTAAACGCAAGTTTTAAAGCACATTTTTATTGTTAAAGAACTTGTATGTTTGAAATCAGACAAAGAAAAATATTCAAAACACTCTGTAAATTTTATGCGTAGAACATTTAGTTGATATAATATATTGCATTTGCTAATATTGATCGAACGAAAACATTTTACTTTGAAAAATTCATTTATTTTTCTATTTGTTATTTAATTATATCATTTTCTAAACAAGAACATAAACATAGTAGATTCATTTCGACAAATGCTTACTTTAAAGATCAAATTGTTAACTGTTTATCTTACATTTTCATTGTTTTCCTATGTTATCTTCTATAACGATTCTGAATAATTTATTAATCCAATTTGATATGGTCTCTGACAATAATAAATTTTCTTCAGATATGAAAAGATGTAATTGACATCACAATAAAAAAACTATAATTGATTGTTTTTAGACATCAAAGCCTTCAACATTACACATTGAAAATTAAAGAGGGCCTTTTTATGGCATTAACTATGATGTCTCTTATTTCGTTCTCGTCAAAGACTCATTTAACCTTGTAATTGAAGCTTTTCAAAACATTCTAATTTCTTAGTTTAAATTCTAGGTTCATTACTTTCATGATTCATTTCCGTGACCAAAACTAAACATTCTTGATCAGTTCTTGTCCTACATTTCTTTATTTGCATAATGTATCGATGCATCTCAAGGAAAAGAGCAGCAAAAGATCTCAAAGGAACATTCAATTCATAAGTCTTGCCAATCATTTGTAATTAAACGTTCTAATTCCTAAATTTCACACTCGGTTAAGTTTCAAGATAAGAAAATTTAAATGACCGATGGTTAACCAAAGTTGTGATGTCTAATGGTGAGATAAGTCTATGACCAATCCGCTATTGTGTGATGCCTTATTACTAGGCAAAGCTTATCAACGTATTTTACACGGCGGGTGTGACATGTGGTGGCAGGGGTTCTGCGAACCCTTCCGGAGCACCTGAGATCATCCCCGGTTTCGTGTTGCTCAGTCTTCTGTTGGCTATGCTGTGTTTTGTGAACTGTTGTTTGTCTTTTTGTCGTTTGTTTTATTCTATCATGGCAATATCAGTTTGTTTTCGACTTATGAAATTAATTATTCCTTTAGTATCTTTCGCCTCTCTTTTTATAAGTCGATCTGTATAGTATAACATTTGGTATTCATCATTTTATACAAAATGTAATCACAAATAGTCAAAGATAGAAGATAGCTAAAGAAAGCTGAAATAAAAATATTAGCATCGTTCGTAAATATCTACATATCGAGTAACGTTCGTTAACCATGAAGTTTTATCCCCGATGCTCCACAGATTGCAGACCCGTTGCAGATAATTAAAGTGTTGAAACGCATTACACTCTTGTTTAGCATCACACATGAATGCACATCTAATGACGCTGACACCATAAACAGAATCGATAGAATGACCATTGATAATTGTGACATTTTCTTGCCTGCAGTAATTACCTACAATAAAGGTAAAAAAAGAAAAAATGATAAATAAAATTAAAAAAAATATGATGTGATATGAACAGGAATTTTGTTAAGGGTGTTACTATGAAAATACGGCTTTTGTTTGATTGAATTTTGCAACTATTAAACTGAAATGATTTTAAATTAGAGAATATGCCTTCCCTTTGCAAAGCTCTGATTGCTTTTCAAAATTTGGCTTTACTTAAGGTCGTTTTGGGTTTGATCAGCTCTTCGACGTTTGTTTTAGGTTGGGATTTTCATATGATACCAGGTTTTATAATGTCGACGACACGAATTTCCGTAAAAACTCTTCATTCTCTATATTCTAGATTAAGTGTTTAGATGTCAAATGCATAACATGTTTCAGAACAAGCAAAAAAGTTAGTAGAAAAAAAAAATAGAGTTACTTCTGCTTAAGAAATTTCACTCTCAATAATTTAGTAAGTACATCATTTAAGTCAAAGTCAGTCTACATCTGTAAAACACCAAAGCATAGG